ATTGTTTGACCCAGAAGGTAGAGGCCGCAGTGAGATATGATCATGCCACTGTACCAGCCTGAGTGTCAGAGTGAGACTCCAACTCAGGAAAAAGAAAAAAAAAGATCCATGCTGGGTTGGTAAAATTAGGATTTAGGGTCGAGATACAGATGAACATTCTGATTAAAGGAAGCAAGACACTGTGAACCCGTATCATGCAGATTATCAAATCTTCTGGAGACTTCAAAAAAGCAGCAATTCCTGGGTTCCCACTGAAGTTTTAAAGTCAAGAGAAGGTCTTTTTAAAGGGTGTCAAGGGAAGTTGGCTTGTAGCAGGCCAGTGCTTGAAGACTCAGTCCTTCATTAGATGCCAGAGCTGCCTCTAACACCAATTTTTAAAAAGCCTACAGTTCTTCTTATGGCCCCCGGATGGCCCTACTGGGACTCCAGGGCCCATATTCGCCAGGAAACCCATGTGCAGCCCCTGTTCCCCAACTTCCTTTTATTGAGAAAGTTTTAGCATGTATTGATAACCGTTGCCTAAATCAGCCATTGTATTGGTGGTTGAAGAATGATGCAAGAAGCCCTTCAATCAGTGGATGGGGTGATCAGAACTGAAACAGTTTAAGCAACATTGAGGGAGAATGAGGGGGTGGAAGGATGGAATGGCAAAACTTTAAGTAGCCAAAGATTTGAAACCATCTGTCATACCATTTCAGATTAAGATCCCCATGCTAGTGCCAGAACACTTTCCCCAGCTGTGAAGCCAAAAATTCCTTTACATGGGAAATAAGGACTTTCATTCTTATTGGCAACAGAACTCTTAAAATGCAAATATTAGCTAATTTTTTTGATGCATTTAACAGCTTACAAAGCACTTTCAAATGCATATACTGAGTCTTTATAGCCACTCTGGGAGATAGATACTCTTTATTTACCAATAAGGAAGCTGAAGCTCAGAGCATATAATGATGTCCCCAGAATCACACAGCTAGTAAGAGGCTGAGCAGACTTCTTTCAAACAAGAGCATTATTGAGGTTTAATTCATTTACCATAAAATTTGCCTTTATAAAGGTAAATGGACTTGCCATTCACTAGTTTTAGTGTGTTCACGAAGTTGTGCAACATTTGCCACTGATTCCAGAACACTGTCATCGTCCCAAAAAGAAACCCATTCAGTCTTCATTCCCTGATTACTCACAACCACGAACCTACTTTGTCTCTATGAATTTGCATGTTCTAGGCATGTCACATAAAGGGAAGCACACGATACATGGCTTTTTGAGACTGGTTTCTTTGACCTGGCATAATAGTTTTGAGGGTCATTCATGTTGTAGCATGTAACAGCACTTTACTTTTTTTTTAATGACTGAGTAATATGCCATTGTTGTGGATAGATCACGTTTTGTTTATCCATTCATTAATCAGTGAAATTTGAATAGATTCCACTTTCAGACTATTAGGAATAATGTTGCTATGAACATGAATGCACAATATTTGCACAAGTCTCTGATTTCAATTCTTTTGGGTATATACCCAGAGGTGGAACTGCTGGATTGTATGATAATTCTATGTTCAATTTTTTGAGGAACCATCATGCTGTTTTCCACAGTGGCTGCATCATTTTATATTCTCACTAGCAATGCACAGGGAATCCAATTTCTCTATAGCCGCACCAATACCTTTTTTTATTTTCTTAATGGTGTTTATTTGAAGGGAAAAAAGTCTTAATTTTGATGAAGTCCAATTTATCTATTTTTTATTTTTGGCTTGTGCCTTTGGTGCCTTTTCTTAGGAACCATTGCCTAATCCAAAGTCACAAAGGTCTACTCGTATGTTTTTATGTAGCAGTTTTAGCTCTTCCATTTAGGTCTCTGGCTCATTTTGAGTTGATTTTGTATAGAGTGGTGACTTCATCCTTTTGCATGTGGATATCCATTTGTCCCAGTACCATTTGTTGTAAAGACAATTCTTGTCCCCACTGAATTGTCTTGAAATCCTTGTCAAAATCAATTGACCATCAATGTGAGGGTTTATTTCTAGACTCTCACTCTATTTGATTTATTTCTATTCTATTAAGCAGGATTCTAATACAAGCTGGTGCTCTCTACATCACATATTTTTTTCCTTCTGCCACACCAGAGGTCACAGAGTGTCTCCTTCATCACCCAGAGGGAAGGGTTTTTCAGAACAATACCACGGGCTTAACGCTGGGGGGACACACCTGAGAGGCTCCCCTGCTGGGGAGATGGAGTCAAGGTCTTCTCCCTCTCAGCCTGTGGCCTGTACAACTGCCAGGCCCCTCTGCCACTGTGGCAGCTCCTTCTGTGGTTTGTCCTTCCCCGTGCTCCTCTCTTTCCCTCTACTGAATAGGAAGCAGCCATGCTGGAAAGGTGGAGGAGGATTCTGGGGTGGGAAAGATATACTACCTCCCTTCCCCACACACACAGCCAGCCCACAGCCCAAGACTGAGGGGTGAACAGAGCCCTTACTTTTTGTCAAGAACTCTAAAGAGTCTGAAGTTTGATTCTATCCTACTTAACAAGCTAATAAGTTGGCTTGTTGTGTTTCATGGATGCTGGCAGATGACACAAGACTCCTGGGTCAGAAACAAAAAATGTTACTACTCATGGCATAGCCAGCAGCATGAACATCAGCATGTTTGTGTCAGTTCCCTTTGCCCTCAAATCCCGGGGGTGTGTGATGGACCCATATGGATGCTGTGCATGCAGTGGGTTTGGGTTGTGGCTGAGGAACACTGGACTAAGGGCCTGGCACTTTTGTGCTGGCTGCAAGCTCTGTTGCACACAAGCCAGTTCTCCTCCCCACTGGGAGTACACGGTTACATGGTGGTCATGCTATGCCCCTTGGCCTACTTAGTTGTCTGTGTGACCAACCATAGAAACTCAGAATCAGGGGATGGATAAACCTTGTGGTCCAGCACGCTAAGCAAGAACATGCAGGGATGCTCAGGGTCCCGTAATCAGAGTGGAGGCCTCCACCTGCTTCACTTGCCACAAAAGTCAGGGGTGTCCCAAGGGTCCTAAGAGCCCTATAGACGGGGAAGTTAAAAGAAAAACCTTAGACAAATTTAATAGAGTTTAATTCTAAAAAGAATGATTCGCATATCAAGCAGCATCTGAACCAGAATTGGTTCAGAGAGGCTCCCATGCAGCCACGTTGTGGAAGATGGTCTATGGATTGAACAAGGAAAGTGACCTACAGAAAATGGAAGTAGGTACAGAGACAGCCAGATTGGTGACAAATTCGTGTTTGCCTTATTTGAACCCAGTTTGAACAGTTGGCTGCCTTTAATTGGCCGAAACTCAGTGATTGACACAAGAGTAGGGTACAGTCTGTTTTATACATCCAGCTAGGCTATAGTTCACCATGCACAGAGAAACCTTTAGGCCAAACTTAAAATATATAGGGAGACAGTTTTAGGCCAAACCCAGTTTAACAGACCCTTCAGAGAGGGGATGTGGCTTGCTCAGGATTACACAGGAAAGGCCAAGCCTAGAACCCAGGCTTCCCAACTCCTGGTTCAGTGCTTTTTCTACCCCCTCTCTGTCCTTGGGAATTTCATAGGAAACCTGGAATGTTTGTGGCAGTAGGTCTCACCAAGAAGAGGTGGGCGGGCAGAGGTGGGCAGCCTGTATCCACTGCTTTGCTTTTCTGTTCACCAACTTCCTTTTTGTTTTTTGGTTTTTTTTGAGTTGGAATCTTACTCCATCGCCCAGGTTGGAGTGCATTGGCATGCTCACGGCCACCCTAGCGTCGACCTGCTGGGCTCAGGTGATCCTTCTGCCTCAGTCTTACAAGTAACTGGAATTACAGGTGTGCACTACCGTGCCCAGCTTATTTTTTATTTGTTGTAGAGACGAGGTCTCACCAAGTTGCCTGGGCTGGTCTCAAACCCCCGGGCTCAGGCAATCCACTCACCTTGGCCTCCCAAAGTGCTAGGATTACAAGCTGAACCACCGAGCCCGGCCATCAACTTCCTTTTTAACCTCTGTTTTGAGGGAGATGAAGGGGACACGGTGTACAAGGGCCAACTACATCAGATCGGGTGGCAGAAATGGGACTTAGGGCTGGACATAGTGGTTCACACCTGTAATTCCAGAACTTTGGGAGGCAAAGTGGGAGGATTGTTTGAGCCTAGGAGTTCGAGACCAGCCTGGGTAACATGGCAAGACCTCGTCTCTACAAAAATTTTAAAAAATTAGCTGGGCACGGTGCCTGAGTCCAGGAGGTCAAAGCTGCAGTGAGCCATGATCATGCCACTGCATTCCAGCCTGGGTGACAGAGTGAGACCCCGACTCAAAAAAAAGAGAAAGAAATGGGACTTGGGAGCCTGATCACTTAATTTCTAAAACTGCAGTGGGTCTTTGAGTAGACATATGGTTTGTCTAGCTGAGTAACACATAAGAGGGGCTGAGTGAGCAAACGGCAGGCCCATGGAGCTCTGTGCTGAGGAAAGAGCTTGCTCACGTGCGTGTCCAGGCCCACCTCCCTCTTGCTCCTTACTGCTCTGTGCCCTCTCATGAGCCCAGCCCCTTCCTCCAGGTCCTCTCTGACTCCTCAGACCTACAGTTCCCCACTTCTTCCATAAGGCCTTACCAACCCTCCCCAGGAAAATTCTGGGCTCCTCCATGACTCCTCAACCACCACCCACCAACCCTCCCTGGTGGTAACTCCCCCAAGCCCAGCATTCACACAGCGAGTAAATGTGCTTTTTCTTCTGTTTCCCTTTTGGGTCAGGAGAGCATCTTTCCTTTCATCCTGCCTCTCTCGCCTGTGAGCTCCCCAGGTGGGCCTGCTCCTGGCCTGTTGCAGAGTCAGTGCTGCAGTTGGCCTAGAGCAGTGGTGCGAGGCTGGGGCCTGGCAGGCTGGGAGGGCGGCCAGGAAGGCCCCTAGGGCGATACCGGAGAGACACAGGTGGGTCCACTGTGCTCTGGGCATTTGTGGAGTTCTCGCTGACAAAGGCTCTTGCTGTCTCTCCCTCCCTCTCCACCCCTAGCTCTTTCCCTCTCCGCTGCAGACCCTCTCCAGGAAGATTGTGCGGTCCAAGATGAACAGCACCCTGGTGGGGGTGTTCACCATTATCCTGGTGTTCCTCTCAGCTTTTGTCAACATGGTGGGTGGCTGCATGTCCTCCCACCCTCCAGCCCCATTGGGTCAAACCCAGTAAAGTCGTGTCTCCCACGGGCCTGGGCTGGGAGAGAGTTTCCCTGGAAATTCTATTCCTGTCTCATCTCAGGCCTGGGAACAGATGTATGACTCTTCAAGTGCCTCACAAAAGTTTTTAGCAGTTCACTCTCAAGGCTGGTCAAGCCATGAGGAGCCCAAGGCATGTTTAAGAGTCCAGGAGGGTCCACCGGCCATACCCCCTCCTGCCAGGGTGGCCGGGCAAGCCTCACCTGATCCTCAGCCTCTCCCAAGTTTTGTCCCTCAGTGTCAGTCTGCATCTGAGGCAGAGAATGGGTGCACGCCCGCTGCCTGGTGGGATGGGCTGCCCAGCATGGTCCCCAGGGGCTGACTGCTCCTCGATGCCCTCTTCCCTGCCCCCAGTTCATGTGCAACTCCAAGGACCTGCAGGGATGCCTGGCGGAGGAACACAACATCAGTGAGAGCCGGGTCAACGCGTGCCATGTGGTGGAGTCGGCCGTCAACTACAGCCTGGGCGAGGAACAGGGCTTCTGTGGCAGCCCCTGGCCCAACTGCAACTTCCCCGAGGTACTGGGCTGCAGGGGTCAGAAGTGCAACAGATGGCAAGCCCCCTGCCCCTCCCCAACTCTGCTCAGAACAGTCAGGGGCTGACCTCCTCACTGTCCTTCTAGAGTCCTCCTTCCCCTAATGTTGCTTACTCCCATGTGCCAGACACTGGGAACAAGGCTGGCCTCCGCAGTGTAACAGTAGTGCTTACCTGGCTAAGGGCTTTATTTATTTATTATTTTAAAGATGTAGGGTACAATTCAGGATTAGGTGGATAAGTGGTTCAGATACAGTTTGGGCCTCCCTTTGGTTCCCACTTCGCCTAGTTTGAGATCAGATACCCTTATTGATGTTATGTGCTCCCTTCTCCTTCCCTGGCAGTGTCCCAATACTGCCAAACTAAAGGCTTTATTTACATGCATTTACTCATTAAATCCTCATGGCAACCCTAGGGCGAGGAGGTACTATATTATCTCCTTTATAGAGATAAAGAACCTGCCGGGCTTGGTGGCTCAGCCTGTAATCCTGTGCTTTGGGAGGCTGAGGTGAGTGAATTGCCTGAGCCCATGGGTTCGAGACCCACTGGGCAACTTGGTGAGACCTCATCTCTACAATAAATTAAAAAAAAAAAAAATTAGCCAGGCATGGTAGCGCACGCCTGTAGTTCTGTCTACTTGGAAGGCTGAGGCGGAAGGATCGCCGGAGCTCAGCAGGTCGAGGCTGCAGTGGCCAGGAGCTTGCCACTGCCCTCCAATCTGGGTGATGGAGTGATTTCATCTCAAAAAAAAAAAAAAGAGATAAAGAACCTGATGTACAGAGAGGTTAAGTTACTTGCCCAAACTGACATAGCCAGGAAGTAGTAGAGCCTAGGTTCTCCTTCAAGTAGTCTGGCTCCAGAGTTTGTGCTCCTAATCAAGCATCCTCAGCTTCTGCAGCAGACTCAACCCTATCTCAGGGGAACCCACTTGAGCCCCTTAGCTCTTAGGGTCAGAGAGCAGGGAGGGGAGCAAGGGGGACCTAATCCCAAGCCAGCATCATCATAAACGAAACCTGTTCAAAGTGGACACTTCACTAGTGCTTAGTATATTCAGAAATTGTACAGTCATCATCATAATCAACTTCTAGAACACTTTCATCACCCTAAAAAGACATTTTGTACTGACAAACCTCAGCCACTTGGGCTTAAAAAATAATGCTGGCCGGGCACGGTGGCTCATGCCTATAATCCCAGAGCTTTGGGAGGCTGAGGCAGGCTGATTGCCTGAGTCTAGGAGTTCAAGACCAGTCGGGGCAATGTAGTGAAACTTTGTCTCTACAAACAAATAAAAAAATTAGCCGAGTGTGGTGGCATGTGCCTGTAGTCCCAGCTCCTCAGGAAGCTGTGGTGGAAGGATCGCCTGAGCCCAGGAGGTTGAGGTTGCCATGAACTGTAATCATCATGGTTATGCCACTGCACTCCAATTGGATGACAGAGTGAGACCTTGATTCTAATAATAATAATACTAATAATAATAATGCCATGAATCCTTATGCGGGGAATGACCTTCATTGAGCCCCTGTGGTCTGAAAGGTGCCTCATTCACGTTACTGCATTTGTCAGGGAGCAATTTGCTGGCATGCTGCAGGGCCAGGCTTCCAGCCCCAGGTATCTGCTCCATGTGGTCATTCCCATACTCCCAGCTCCCGCAGGCACTCACAGGAAACCTGTAAGGTGGTGGCAGTGTCTGTCCTTTCCGTTACTCACGACAAAGGTTCAGGATTGCACCCGAGGGGCACCGTGGGCTGTCACAGCACTGGCCTCCCTCACCCAACCTGGGAGGCAGCCTGATCTGGCTCTGGGTTGTACTGGTGGGGCACAGAAAGGCCAGTGAGGAGCAGGAATGCTCACCTAGACAAGCATTTGCCCCCTATCTGTCTCTGGGCCCTCTCTTTTCCAGGCAGCCACGGCCTCACAGGCCCCATCCAACACTCCCCTGCCTCTGTTCCCTCACATTTGACTGAGAGCCACAGGAGCAGCACTTCTGCCTCCTGTGTGCTGAGGAACAGAGGCTCCTTTTGGTCTTGTATTTGCTCCTCAGCAATCCCAGGAGAAGCTGAGGCATGGGCAAGAGGATGGTGGTAGGCATGGTCTGACTCCTCATTTGTGGGAGATGCTTGGTCCCAGGCTTCAGCCCTCACCAGCTGGCCAGTCTCAGGCCTGCTGATCCCAGCTCTTGCTGGCAACAAAGCTCTCCAGATGGCCACACCCACAAGGGTTATTTCTGATCCAGCAACTCCTCACAGACTTGAGGCCCTTGCATCAAGCCTTGGCCTCCTGGCTATCTGGGCCCAGGATCTGCATGGGAATCCAGGCTGGCTCTGGACAGTCCCCTACCCCTCTCCCAAGTACAAGTAGCTGGGGTTGAGTTATGTGGGCGTGTCCACCTTGCTCCCTCTTCTGTCCCCATTCCTGGGGATACTTGAGGCTGTCCCCTCAACCCATTCATCAAGGAACCCTCAGCAGCCTTTTCCTTGGATCCAGAAGGGAGGAAGAGGGTCCAACATGGGGGCTGCCCCCACTGCCAACCACTGCCAATTGGCCCCTAACCCAGAGCAGAGGCAGTATGCAAATAGTAAGAATCTGAAAGCCTGACTCAAAAATGATGATACTAAATTTAAAAGAAAGATCAAAATAATAGACACTAACATGTCTAGGATTAGCATCAAGGGACAACAAAGAGAAGGGGACCTCTGATATCCTGGTTCAGCCCCTCAGTTGTCTAAGAAGGAAACAGTTTCAGGGATCAGAAGGGACTGCCCCAGAGTTAATAGTACAGGACCATAATCCCTCATCTGAAATATTTGGGGCCACATATGGGGCTTCAGATTTTTTCAGATTCTAGACGGTTGCCTCTCACCCCCTGTGGAGTCTGGGGCCGCACCTGGTAATAAACACAGTAATATTTCTGCAGCAAAATGTATGAATAGTCCCAGGAAGCAGGATAAAGATGATGACTAGCATCTCATCAATTAGATCAGGTTCTGTCACCAAATAAGGTGAGTTCAGGCGTTACCCCCTCAAGAGTTATAAAAACTTTTCGTTTTGGAGGCTTTGGATTTTAAAGTTGCAGATCAGAGACCTTCCACCCGTGTTCCCACTGTTAATGAGGGAACCAGCCACTGCGCCAAATGAGCCCATGAGATAGGAAGCTTTGTAGATGGAGACACTGAGGATTAGAGGGGTTGAGTAAATGTCCCTAGGCACACAACCAGTCCTGAGTGAATCAGGGTGAAACCCAGGCCAGTCTGAGCCTGGAGCCCGGCAGTAACACGGGGCTCTATTGCATGTACTGACCAAACTCCAACTGGAGCCCGTCTCCTGGTTCCTAACCAGGGCCCTTCCCAAGACATCACATCCTTTGCCAAGTTTATGTCAGCAGGAGCATGCCCAGACCAGGCTTCACCTGAAGCTGGTTCAGTCTGGAGGGCGGGGGCCTGGGGGGGCGGGGTCCCCAGGAGCTGACACCACCGCTTTCTGTCCGCAGTACTTCACCTACAGCGTGCTGCTCAGCCTCCTGGCCTGCTCCGTGTTCCTGCAGATCAGCTGCATTGGGAAGCTGGTGCTCATGCTGGCCATCGAGCTCATCTACGTGCTCGTCGTGGAGGTGCCCGGTGTCACACTCTTCAACAACGCCGACCTGCTGGTCACAGCTAACGCCATGTAGGTGGCATGTTCCTCCCGTCCCCCACTGGGTGCAGGGCATTGTGGGGAGGCAGGAAGAGCAGGGGACTCCAGATCCTGGCTCTTCAGGGAACTTGCAAGGAGAGCGTCTTCTTCCTTTCCAGCCCTGACCGCCAGGGCAAAGCATGAGTTCACCACTCACTCCTGACCTCATGCTTCTGGCTTGCCCCGGGGCAGCCTGGAATAGGCTGTTTTCACTCAACTCCAGCTGCCTGTGGAACTTCTGACCCACAGGGGTCAAGGTTCAACAGAGCTGGGTCACAAGGTCTGTGGGAGCAGAGGGACAATCTTTGTTGTTTGCAGGCTCTGTCTTGCCACCAGCCAGACACTTGGATATATATTATCCCTTTCATCCTCCTAGCAATCCGGCAAAGTATGCAGACCTACCACATCTGATTGGGTATTTGTGCACAGCCCAAAAACTCCTGGCCATGATGGTGGAGGTTAGGTCCCAATTCCCAGAGGTGGTGGGCATGAAGGTTGTGCTCAAGGCTTACCCCACAGTCAGCCTGATCATCCAGTGACAGAGTGGATCTAAGGGAGGTGGCTCCATGAGGTGAAAGAGGCTTTGGGTTAAATTGAGTTTGAATCTTAATGTCAGACACACATTTGTTTATTCCTCTGAAACTCATTATTATTTTCCAGTAAAATGGAAGTGATACCCATAGTAGTAAGATTTATGTAATACCCTTTTCCTCCCATCACTATCCCTGACACACACACCAAGAAGTGCAAAAACGTGAGTAGCAAGTCTGTGACCCTGAGAAAATGCAGCAGACTGCACTTTCTCTGAGGCGAAGGAAAAGAGCCATCCATCCATCCATTCATGTGTTCGTTCATTCATTAATTTAAAAATGTTTGTTGAGGGCCTACTATGTGCCAGCCACTGAACTAGGCAGTGGATAGGACAGATAACCATTAGGAATGTTCCATTCTTGTGAAGGGAGTGTCACTTGAAAAAATGAAAGTGTAATGAAGGCTCTCAGTCAGATTCCAGGAAGAACTTCTTGGCAGTTGTGTGGGTAGATGACTGGGAAGACACTGTACCACTGAGAACAGTACAGGCTGCAGTCCTGTGAGGAGAAAGCAGCCTGGGGCCTTTCTACCTAGGGATCAGGGCTGGAGTGGAGAGTTTTGCCCTTTTCCCACCCACAGCCTCTCACCTCCCCCACTGAAGTTGGCAGCAGAGAATGGGGGTCATTTCTGGGTGGGAGACCCTGATTTGGCTCTAGATCAGCACTGTCCAGCAGGTAAATAATGCAAGCCACCTACATAATTTTAAATTGTCTAGTAGACATATTAAAAAGGCAATGCATGTAATTAATTTGACTTTTAACCAGTACTGTATATCCGTATATGGTTATTTTAAATATGTAATTAATATGAAAGTCTTAATGAAATGCTTTACCTTTTTTCACACTCAAAACCCAGTGCATATTTTACACTTACTGGACATTTTGACTTGCACCTACCACATTTTAAGACTTTGTGGCCACACGTGGCCAGCGGCTGCCCCACGGGCAGAGCAGGCGTAGGGTTTCGCCTTCACTCCCTCCGGATGGAAGCCAAGGGCTGGGGTGGGAGACGAGGGCAGGCTTCACCGAGGTGGACATGCTGGGAGGTGGGAGGGCAGGATCCCAGGTAGGAGCTGGACGACTGTGGTTGTGGTGACCAGCGGCTGGTTGGGGCTGGGCAAGCTTCCCATCCTGAAAGTATCCCTGGGGGTGCAGAGGGGCGCTGGGGGTAGAGAAACAAGGAGCAACAGTAGGGGGGACAGCAGAGCAGGGCATGAGGGGGCAGAGCTGGGGCAGAGAGCAGAGCAGGAATGGAGGCTGCCTTATGCCGAAGAGTTGCGCTGACCAGTCTTCCTCAACTCTGTTCACAGAGACTTCAACAACAACGGGACCTCCCAGTGGTGAGTTGACGCTTTGATGTGGCATCTTCCTGCCCTCAGCACAGAGAGGGCAGCCGGTGCCCAGGTGGGAGGGACCTTGGCAGCAAGGTGGGTGGTGAAGGAGGAAGCTAGAGGGAACAAAGAGGCCCACCCCTTCTGGGGTAGCAAGGCATCCCAGTGGGAGAGATACCCCTGTTTACTTCTGTGATCCCACCATGGTGATCAGCGACAGGGATCATCAGGGCCCCTAGATCCCTCGCATGCACAGTTCACAATAGTGTGCCCGCTCCTATGAGAATCGAATGCTGCCATTGATCTGACACAAGGCAGAGCTCTGCTCACCCACCACTCACCTCCTGCTGTTGGGCCCAGTTCCTAACAGGCCATGGACCAGTACTGGCCCACAGCCTGGGACTGGGGACCTCTGTTTTAAAGCATTTAGCCTCAAGCTCTCCCCCAGGATAACAGGAATTGTGCACACTTTCCATCTGGAGGAGAGAAAGAAGGCGAGGTCTGCAGGGTCTTGGGGCCAGTTCCACAAACTGCTGCCTGGGCAGGGAGTCACTATGTAACCTTCAAGGTTTGGGCTCTACTGGTTCAAGGCACAGGGTTTAGAATGGCTGCTTTTGTGAAGAATGTTTATTAGTAATGCTAGCAAAAATATAATTAGATAGTAATAGCTACCAGTTTTGGAGTGTACTCTTTGTCAAGTGCGGCACTAAGCATTTTGTATACAGTATCTTTAGTCCTTGCGACCATCTTGAAATGTGGATATTGTCCCATTTTACAGATAAGCTAACTAAAGTTCAGAGAGGTTAAAAGACTTGTCCAGGATTGCCCAGAGACAGGGTGGCTATGGCTGGCCTTGCTCCCTTGTTACTGCACCCACTGCCCCCGTATTACCCACTGAGAAAGATCTGGGATGTACATACCGCCTCTGAGAAGGGCTGAGTTTATCTCCTGATGTGACCAGAGGGGAGATCCCGACTGATAAGGGAGAATAAGGCATCAGGAGGAGAGTAATGGCTGCCCGTGCTGCCAGTGTAGGCAGGGGCTGAGATGGGGCTGTCAGCCAAGAAGACTTCCTGGAGGAGGCACACCCTGGATTTGAGCAGGAGGGTGAGGAGGAGGAGAAGCTGTAGTGGGAGGAAGAAAAACGATCTGGGGTGGAGGAACCTCAGAGCCTGCTGTGAAGTGGCAGGGTGGCCTAAGGCCTGTCTCCTTCCCACCTGCAGCCCCGAGCACGCGACCAAGGTGGCGTTGAAGGTGGTGACGCCCATCATCATCTCAGTCTTTGTGCTGGCCCTATACCTGCACGCCCAGCAGGTGGAGTCCACCGCCCGCCTCGACTTTCTCTGGAAACTGCAGGTGGGTGGCCCTGGGTTGGAGCTGGGTGGGGGAGGCACGTGGAGCAAATGTTCAAGTGAACAAGCTCTTCGTCTGGGCTGGGCTGGGGCTTTGTCTTGCACCAATGAGGAGTCCTGCTCATGCCTCAGCGAAGTGGACTGGGAACTCATGTCCCAGTGGGTCTGCTCCCTACTCTCTCAGGCCAAGAGGCAAAGTCTGGAGGCATATTGCAGCCATACCCACCCTTGACAATGCTGGGACTCTGATGGGCTCAGGGTGTGTGCTTTGGAGTCAACAAATACTGACTGGGCACTTACTGTGTGTGTCCCCAGGCTGGGACAGAGGCAGGTGTGGGCAGGTCCTTTGTGGTGGGGGCAGCAAGGAGTCCAGGAGGGTGAGGGAGGAGTAGAGGTGGCAGGATCGTGGCCACAGTGGGTCCCAAAGGCATCCGAGCAGGGCTTGACCTGGCCAGAACTGGGCTTGAAGAGTCTCCCCAGAGGGGATGGATCGAAGGAACATCAAAGACTCAACAGGAAGCCAGCCAAGCCCGGCTCAGGCGGTGGGGTGTTCAGGGGTGGGGGAGGGCAGAGTTCTGACCATGCTGGGTGCACAGGTGGGGCAGAAATCCTCCAGGGCTCCGCTCTCTGGGCTGCATCCCCTGCACCCTGTGCATTGTGTCTGCCCAGAGGAAGGGATGCTGAGGGGCCAGGCTGAGGGCATCCCATGCACTGGCAGGAGGGTGTCCCCAAGGGCACTAGGCAGGAGGAAGCCCCACCTTCACAGGGCCTGCCTCAGACCTTCTATTTCAACCCAGCCCCTTGCAAGGCTTAGCCTGGCCCAGCCTTTGTCTTCAGCCCACTTCAGTTCTTCTACAATGTGTTTAGACCTCCCCCATCCCAGACTTCTTATTAACAGTGGGATGAGGGCCTTGGGGCTTGGACACTAAGTGAAGCTGGGGACATCAGGTTGCCCCTTTTGTTGGGTATTTTGCATGGAGTCTCTTTGCAAAGAGCCTCCATCTCTTTGATCTAAGGCCCAAATCATCCCTATGCCCTCCAGTCGTCCAGCTCCAAACCTCACTCTTTTTCACTCAGCTGCATGGCTCCCTGGCCCACCTTCAGCCTCCTCAAGGGGCGCTGGTGTTCGCAGTGTTTTTCTCCTCCTGTGGCCCCAGAAGTGTTGTATTTCCACTTTTTTTACCTTTACTTTCTGACCTCCATTCTCCCCATGTCCCTGGTCCCTTCGTTTTAACCTTTTTTTTTTTAAGTTTTTAAAAAATAGTTTTAAACCTACAGAAAAGTTCCAAGAAGAGCATCAACTCCCCAACCCGTTTTTCTGCTCTTGCTTTATCACCCCCCACATATATTTTCCAACATGATGCCCATCACCCTACATTTTGTGCTTGTCCGCTCCAGCCCAGGAACTGGTGATTTTTGCAAAGAGCTTTCATTCTTCTTAGTGGAGAGTGGTATTTAGATACGAGAGTGCTTGGAGTGCTAGCTGCTGCTTGGGCTTCTCCATGGACAAAGCTAGGGAATAGATGTGTGTGCAACATACCTAGAAGAACATGTACATGTGTCTTTGCTACTTTTTTTTTTTTTGAGTTGGAGTCTCACTCTGTCGCCCAGACTGGAGTGCAGTGG